CATCAGTGAAGCAGAGAGGGTGTGCGGCGCCTCTATATCGGGCCAGTTCGTGACGTAGTTTGGATGGAGCCCGTCTACGACTTACGGCTCAGACGTAATTGTACTTGCCATGCTCGGCTTGATAGCCGTCCTCGCGCGTCGAGGCACGCCCCCGTGATCCGTAGATCGATCTAGCCGGACCTGTTTTATTCTTCAGGCTCTGCCGGAGATCATACGTGTATCCCCGAGCAGTTTTGTCTCTGCCTTTACGGCGAGGTAAGGCGGGCTGGTGTGCGGCTTGTGTTGCCGCTTTGTCCCGGCCACGTGGTGATCGGTCAGCCGCATTGTGTGCTGATGGCATGGGCTCCAGCACCTCGTCATCGAATTGAGGTAGTAACTTGCGCTTCAGGTAACTTTTGAGTGGTCGCTTGAGGTCGTATTCCTCGGCTTCCAGGACGTTAGTCCATCTGTCGTTGAGCAGGTCTTGATCAGCTACAAGTTGTTGCTGGTTCTTTTTCAGGCTCCTTGTAGTGGCTATTAGCTGGCGCTTGAAGCACTCCTGCTCGAGAGGTTCCTCGGGCACGATGAAATCCTCAGTGCCAAGGCTCGCCTCATCCTCGGAGAGCGGAAGATAATTACTGTCCTCCGAGTCTTGTTGCGTGGCCTGTTCATCAGGGCTAACTTGCACGTCTTCCCGTTCGTTTTGTTCGGCAGTTGCCTCAACGGGGTCTTCATGGTCTTCGGCACCTTCTAGAGTGTTATCTTCTCATGTGCCAGTGTTGTTGTCTTTGCTGCGGTGTGACTTAGAGCGGCGCCGCTGACGCCAGCGCTTTGATTGTATCTCGGGAGGTTTATCCTCAACTGGATCTTCCTTGTCATCGTCGCTATTCTCTTTTGGTGCATCCACCATGTATACATCATACGAGGAAGTGGCCGTCCAGCGTCCGGTAGGTTTTGGGCCTCTTCTTCTCCGGCATTGTCATCCATACCATCGATGTCATCGGAGCCGTAATCTAGCATGTCAGTTAAGTCTTCGACAGTGGCTATGAAGTGGGCGGTGGGTGGGAAGCGAAATTCTCCATCATCAGCCTCCGGCTCGAACCGGATACAATTCGGATGTGAGCCCCCTGCTAAGGATAGTGCTCTTAACGAGTTTAACACGTCGCCCAAAGGCGGGTGCCGGAAGATGTCCGCGGAGCTGAATTCGACGATCGGTGACCGATCAAGCTCAACGTACGCGGACGCGCAAGGTTCGGAACCTGTAGCCGGAGACGAGTCCATGGTTCTGGTGACACAGATGTCACTTGAAGTTAGGTATGTGTGAGGCTCCAATGCCGCTGAGTCTGCGGCTTCCGCGGCGGGGTTGAGCTTCCCATCCTCGGATGGCGCGATCTGCTCCGGATCTAAGGCCAGAGCAACTACGGGTACTATCTCTTGGGTATGGTCCGATGATAGATTTACGTCATGTTCATCGTGGTGGCAGGGAGCGGCTGTCGTGGTCTTGAATCCATCGAAGATCAAGTCTCCGCGGATATCCGCGACGTAGTTCAAGCTTCCAAATCTGACATGATGTCCAGGGGCGTAGCTTCCAATCGGCTCCAGCTGGCCAAACGAGTTGGCCCGCAGTGCGAAGCCGCCGAATATGAAGATTTGTCCGGGAAGGAAGACTTCCCCTTGGACAGCGTTGTTGTAGATGATCGAAGGAGCCATCAAACCTTTTGACGACGGCACAGTGGAACTCTCAATGAAAGCACCAATGTCGGTGTCAAAACCGGCGGAGCTCGGGTAGGGGGTCCCGAACTATGCATCTAAGGTCGATGGTAACATGAGACAGGGGACACAATGTTTACCCAGGTTCGGGCCCTCTCTATGGAGGTAATACCCTACTTCCTGCTTGATTGATCTTGATGAATATGAGTATTACAAGAGTTGATCTACCACGAGATCGTAATGGCTAAACCCTAAAAGTCTAGCATGTCTGACTATGATTATGAGGATATATCTGTCTACGGACCTAGCCCTCCGGTTTATATAGACACCGGAGGGATCTAGGGTTACATTAGGTCGGTTACAGAGAAAGGAATCTTCATATTTAGACGCCAAGCTTGCCTTCCACACCAAGGAGAGTCTCATCCGGACACGGGTAAAGTCTTCGGTCTTTGTATCTTCACAACCCATCAGTCCGACCCATGTCTAATAGGTCGAACGCCCGAGGACCCCTTAGTCCAGGAATCCCTCACCCACTGCCACGGGAGGGTAGGACAAAACATGTCATGCAAGTTCTTTTTCATAAGCATGTATGACTATTTACGAAATATATGCCTACACTATATTTATGAACTGGAGCTAGTTCCGTGTCGCCCTAGGTTATGACTGTTATATGATGAATATCATCCAACGAATTCACCGGTCCAATGCCTATGAGTTTTTCACATATTGTTCTTGCTGCGTTACTATTGCTATTGCTACTGTTACAACTACTACAAAACTGCTACTGATGTTACCATTACCATTGCTACTGTTACCACTGCTATCAAAACTATCATATTACTGTGCTACTGATCACTATGCTACAGATATTTAATCTCTATGTGTGGTTGAATTGACAACTCAACTGCTGATACTTACAAATATTCTTTGGCTCCCCTTGTGTGATTAAATAAATTTGGGTTGAATACTCCACCATCAAAAACTATTGCGATCCCCTATACTTGTGGGTTATCATGTTGTAGCGGCTACGAACGGCAGCCTGATTCCTTCAGGATGACGCTCCCGGCAACACCGGCGTCTTGCACGAGCGGAGGTGGCGGCATCTGCTCTCGGCTGCTGCCCCGGGCGAGCCTCAACTGGTGCTCCAGGTCACCCTGGGCTATTGCTCTTGACGCCCCGTCCGTGAGGAAGGAGGGTCAATGTGGCTGCTCCGGGCTGTTGCTGCTCCCGGCCAGGAAGACAAACTTGTCTTAGTGCCAGCAATGATTTCTTGTGTAATTGGGTGATTGTTTTCTGATATTTTCATGATTTTAGAAAAAAATGCTAAACATGGCTTAGCGCCGCTATAGCTTCCTTAGCTGCCTGAAGAAGGCGACGCTAAACACCTTAGCCCGCTATTTAAAACATTGGGTCAAACCCACGGAGACAGCTTAGACAGAGATCACCTGAGTGGATCCACTTCCTATGATCTCGAGTGCTTCAGCCGGTACATGCATGCCACAGACATTCCGGCCAACTTCAGGTTGGCGACTAGGATCAGCAAGTTCATCGGTGAATCAAAGTCAGAAACTTGGTTGGAAGATTACCGAGTGACCGTCCAGATTGGTGGCGGCAACCACAATGTGGCTATGAAGCATTTGCCTTTGATGCTCGAAGGGTTCACAAGAGCCTAGCTCAACCAGCTACCTCCTGGCAGCATTTACTATGACCTGGCCCGAGTGTTCGTGAAAAGCTTTGAAGGCACGTACAAACAGTCGGGTGGACTGGCAGAGCTGCAACACTGCGTGCAGAGGAACAACGAGACTCTCCGAGAGTACATCCAGCGATGGGCCACTTTGCACAACACAATGGAGAATGTTAGTGAGCACCAAGCAATCTGTGCTTTCAAGACAGGTATCAAGTACCGGGAGCTCATCCTGAAGTTTGACCGAACGAACACTCCAGCTCTGAGCCGAGTGATGGAGATAGCCAGTCGGTATACAAATGGCAAAGAAGACTAAATGAGAAGCGGCAAGGGGAAGGCTGGAGAGCCCAATTAGCTTGGTAACAACTTCAGTCGAAAGCAGAAGCGTAAGGCCGACGCGACCGGCAATGTCGAAGCAGCGGCCCTGGCTGGATAGGGGAAAGGCATGGGTCTATCGAAGCAAAAGAAGGAATGGGCTTCCAAGAAGAAGAAACACTCAGAGAGTGACATACTTGATCAGCCCTGTCAAGTTCACACAAAGAAAGATGAAGATGGCAACCTGATTTTGCCAAAGCACACCACTCGAGAGTGCAGATTGCTAAAGCAAGCTACGACAGAAGACCCTTCAAATGACAAGGATCGGGACGATGACGACAGGGGGAAGAAGCCCGCTAGAGGTTATCCCACTGTGGAGAAAGTTCTGATGATTTTTGCAGATGTCGAATGCAAAAGAAATCTGCGGGTGTGGGCTGTATGGCCCACTCACGGCCCCACGGGCTAGTTACCCCTTTGGGGGTCTACCGGCGCAGGATCAGATGGTAGGGTTAGTGGCCTACTACCGAGGTTAGTGGTGGTACTCCTTTGCCACATAGGCACAGTCAACGGGTCTAGACCAGCGTCTACCGGGTGGTAGCCTGTTAGCTTTACCACCGCTGTGTATGGTGGTAGACTAAAGGGTCAGACCGTGCAAAACTTTAAACCAGAGTCATTTTATGCTAAACTCAATGTTACAATGTCAAAAACAATGTTTTTTTTAACATGAGTAATTCCATGCTAAAAACACAAAATAAAAACAGTGATTTTGGGCTTTTGGCCCTCCCATGCGATTGATCGAAATGACATAACATTTGGGCCCGATTCTCTCTCAAAAAATAAACTGGGCCTGAGGAATCATGTATAGTCCAAATATCCAAGAGATTCCAAGGTCCTGTCTGGCCTTCTTCAACCCCACGCCGCGATCTCCCATCGTCCTCACTGAGACCGACCACTCGCCGTCGTCCCCTTCCGAGCAGCAGCAGCGCGCGCGCTCGCTCTTCGGCTTTGCCTCCTCGACTTGCTCCGCAGCTTCTGCTCCACCCCCGGCTATACGGCGCGCCTTGTCGGAGAACCTTCCTCGTTGACCTCCTCGCCTGGAGCCGCATCGCTTCTGCCGCGCTGGGCGCGGCGGCTAGCGCTACTGACTCCTGCTGGCCCTTCCCCCACCACTGGCCACCCCAACCCCACCTTTCCTCTTCTAAGACGAAACCAAGGGCCGCCACTGCGTCAGTCGATGGGAGATCGTGCCCCGCCGGCCGAGATTCGGTAAGGATCTGCACGCCCACCTGAAGACCTAGACCAAATTGCAGCCATGGAGCCGTCAGCTAAGGAAGATACGCAGCCGAAGCCGCGGCTCATCGTTCGCCTTGGCATATTCCTCGCTTCTCACCACATACTCTTCAGGTCTGCTCCCCATCTCTCCCTATTTAGCACCATGCTCAGTCATTTCCTTTTTCTTGTTCCACTGACAAAGTTCTTCGCCATTTTGTCGCCAGCGCCTTGTGCTGTTCCGCGGGCATTATCGCACTCCTCTTCCTCCCATCGCTTGCAAAGAACACATACCTCTCGGAGAACGCTCTTATACCTGGTACGCAATCTTCTTTTTCACCGTGGTTATTCAGATCCCCTGTACAATAAATTTGTAGTGGAGCGATCGGTACCTTAGCAAAATTAAGGGTTGAGTATGATATACCCGAGTGGCTTCCCATGGTTATGATTCAATAGTGAAGGCAAACCATCCATATCCACCGCGTCAAGTATTCATCTTATCGTGCTAGTGGCAATTTATCAGTTCATATGTTCATGTAACGCAAGCAGCATATGGCCGTTCAAAGACGGAACATAATGTTGATTTGGAACCTTTGCATGTAGGCTCTGCAAATCCATTGTTCTCCAGCGAGGATGTCACGGAAGCTAACAAGTTTATCAAAGGAATTGAAGCTGCAGCTGGGGAATCAAGAGGAGGAATGTAGGTTATTCTATCTAAATCCCTTGTTCTATGTTCAACTTCCTTTTCTGACAACAGTGGGTTCATCCTTATTTTTATTATGCTGAATCTGCATCCTTGTTTGTACAAATGTATGGATAGATGTGTAATGTTCAATATTTCAAGCCTGCCATTAAAGCGTTTGTCATGATGAAATCTGTGATGGTTATTCCAACAATATATAGTAATTTTATTAATAAACATACGCATGGTATCCATGGAATTCTAAATTCGAAAGAGTAATGCTTGTAAACATACACAAAGAATCAATTTTTTCCATATGTTAGTTAAACTGAAGTTAAAGACATGCCAATTTCATATGGTGATATAACGCAAGTGAAGGGTGTCATACTAGATTGTCAAGAGTAAATAGTACAACCTCCGTCCAGAATTAACTGTCGCTGAAATGAGTGTATCTAGACGCGTTTCACTCATTTCAGCGACAGTTAATTCCGGACGGAGGGAGTAGTTCTTTCCTGTGTCAGCTTTAATGTACAGTTTTATTACAAATGTCGCGGGGAAATGCCAAAATTCCTAGTGCAACAAATGAAAGATCTGGGTGCAAAAGTGTGTTACCGCGAATTCCTCCCTCATAGCAAGCATTTTCAGCGACATGCCTGTGTCTGCTTTAATTCATAGTTCTTACCTGTGTCTGCTTTAATGTACAGTTTTATTACAAATGTCACAGGGAAATGTCAAAATTCATAGTGCAACAAATGAAAGATCTGGGTGCAGAAGTGTGTTACCACGAATTCCTCCCTCATAGCAAGCATTTTCATCCTCTGAAGTTCTTTACTTCCATGACAAACGATTTGGCAGTTCGACCCAATGGCACCTATTCCAACTCTGGAACTAATACAATTGGCATTATACGAGCTCCTAGGGGTGATGGAAAAGAAGCTATAGTATTGGTTACTCCTTACAATCCTCAGAAAGTTCAGGCAAATGAAGTATTATCACTCGCACTTGGTTTCTCTGTCTTCTCCCTCTTAAGTCGAGCTGCATGGCTGTCAAAGGATATTGTGTGGTTATCTGCAGACTCGCAATTTGGGGAGTACACCGCAGTCTCTGCATGGTTAAATCAGTACCATAACCCTATGTTTGTGGGTGGTGTTAAACATGAACCTGATGGTATTGCAGAAAAGGCTGAATTTACGGATTTCAAACGTGCTGGAACAATGGCTGCTGCTCTCATATTTAAAGTTGGGGAAACTAGGAACTATGGTGATAGAGATAGTGTTACAATGTACGCGGAGGCATCTAATGGCCAAATGCCAAACTTGGACCTTCTGAATGTGGTGCACTATCTAGCTGTTCATAGACAAGGTTTTCGTGTGAACATTGAGACAATTAGTTCGTTGTTGAGTTCTGCATGGCTTAGGGCTATTGCTGAAGTGATTCATACTCTTGGGAGTATATTGAGAAAAATAAATCCTGACTGGAAGCTTGATATTACTGCCTCTGATTATGTGGAGGGGACTGCCAACCTTGCTAGCTCTATTTATAATCAGGTAATTGGACTGGGTATTTTCCATTCTATCTTAAACAACACTAGCTTTTCAACTGAACCTAATCACTTCTTGTTGGGTTTTTGTTAAAGCAGGCTCTTGGAGTGCCCACTGGATCTCATGGTGCGTTCCGTGACTATCAAGTTGATGCCGTTTCTTTAGAATTTTCACCAACATTTTATATCAGAAATGAGAATGCCAAATCGTCATTTCTTGTAAGGGGTGGAAGGTCAGTTCTTACCGGGTTACTTCAGGATGCATTGCTATGAAATATTTCAAACGTCTTGTGATTATTGACATGTGTTGAATAGCTTAGTAAGAGGAAATATATAAGGTTAATGTTCTTGATTATCAGAGACAAGATAATTATAGACCCTGGAAGTTGTAACAATTAGCTATGGATCTTAAGACTTGGCCTGCTGATAACCTTACGCTGTTATAATAGGCCTGTTCAATTCCAAAGGTTTATTTTCATTTTTCAGCAAAAGATGCCTACTCTACATTTTATACAGCGCATGATTGAAACATAGTTTATACTGATTTGTTCAGATATTCATTTGACATGCTGCTTTTTGTTCAGGTTACTTGAAGGTGTGGTACGTTCTGTGAACAATCTGCTCGAGAAGTTCCATCAATCATTTTTCCTATATTTCCTCACAGCTCCGAGCAAGTTTATTTCAGTTGGTGTCTATATGATTCCTTTTGCACTGCTTGTGGCACCCCTCCCAATAGTTGCTGCTGCTCTTGCCGATGGCGGTAGAAAAAAGGGAGAATCAATCGATGCCAGTAAAACAAAGGGCAGTGCTGATAATCTCCCAACCGAGGTTGGATCATGGAAATGGCTTCAAGCTGCAAGAGTTCTGCTTGTTATCCAACTTTGGGCAGTGATTGTTTCACTACTACCGTACTATATCAGTCAAATTCCCGATGGTACACCAATACAAAGTTCAGTGATCTGGGTGGTGCTCGCCATTTTGACGTTGATCGTCCTATATGCCATGTTTGGTTCACCATACTCTGCTGGTGTTGAATGGAAACTTCTGAAGGCCACGATGATCACTTCAATCTCAATAGGGCTGGGGCTTATGTCGATAATAAATTTCGCTACTGCTCAGCTTGGGGCGTTGATTGTGATCCCAATGTGCCTGTTTTCTCGACCGCTGAAAGCACAGCTTGGTATGAGCTTCCTTCCACGGACAGTATTGTGTGCTTCAAATATACTTCTTGCCATCTTTGGTTTCCCTCCAGCTGCATTGTTGATTATGAAAGGGCTGTCCAAGGGGTCCTGGACGGTAGACCTTGGAGATTTCTGGGCGTCAATGGAGTTCTTGTGGGAATGGAGTAGCGCCACATATCTGTATCTGTTTCTTGTCCATCTTCCCTGCTGGCTTCTATGCATCCATGTCTTGCTGCATCCATGTCGCCAAGTGGGATCAAAGGTTAAGCGGGAGTAGATTGTTTGATCTGGGAATGTTTCAAGATCTAGAACAGTGTAACAGATGTGTCAATTTCTACGTTCTTCGGTTTGCTAACCTTTTTTATTATAAGAATTGCTTATTTTTTTCTGAGATGGAGGATCTACAGGCGACAGCAAGTGGGAGAAAATTGATCTGTCTTACAGTGTCAACTTTGCAAAACAATGTAAAACATTGCTGTTTGTAAGGATGCTGGATTGTTGTGGACGCATCACAACTTCACAAGTAGTCCAGAGATATGTGCAAAAGCGCAAATGGTGCATCCTCAGTGGGCTGTGCAAATACCAATGCTGTTCCTGAACTACCTGGTCTGATTTGAACCATGAAACTGTTTATATTGAACAGTGAATTTATTTTTAAGCATAACCTATCCTGGTTTTTAAAAGTGATTTTGTAGTTCATGATTTTCAAATTTAAACGGAAAACTCATTGGTGTAGGAAAACTTTCGAAATGATAACCTGCAAAACTGGAAGACATGAGAATTCATTCTTTTTTTTTACTGGAGCAACATTGATTCTGCATATCATATGACTGAAATTTATTGTCTCGCACTCCCTCTGTAAACTAGTATAAGAGCGTTTAGATTACTAAAATAGTTTACATCATTCTTTGGCACCAACCAATCGTTTCAGATTTTTTTTGGGTCCCTTCTGAGACATAACCACTCCTCGAACCTTAAGACCGGTTCTTACCTCTAGGGTCTAAATTTTTTGTGAAAGAATTCATGTACATGGACATGTGGCCATTTTTGCTTTGCACAATGCTGAAATGATGCAAAAACCACTTTCAAACACCTGCCTGGGGTTCAGCTTATTTTAGAAAATAAGGTACTCCCTCCATCCCATAATATAAGAACATTTTTCAATCTATATTAGCTCGAAAAACGTTCTTACATTATGAGACAAAGGGAGTATAATACAAATGATTTCAAGCTTCAAAGGCTGAGACCAACCAAAACGCCATGTTCAAGATTTTACCAGGCTTCTTAGAGAGAGAAAATGGATACACTAAACCGCCTTTGCTTCCGTTTGCCTCAGTTTGCAGATTCATACTTCGATGCAGATTTATACTTCGATCGAACAGCACACAACTTTCAGCCCACCCCACTGAGCGCTTAAGCATCAAACTGTCACTGACTAAGATTGCTTTCTCCAGGTTGACACTATAAAGTAAGCATAATGAGATAGGAGATTTGGTCGAATAAACAAAGACCGCTGACTAAGATTGACCAGTAAAGCATAATATGCAATGCAACCCAAAGAAGGAAATTGTAACTCCGAGGTGCCATCTGGCTACATATAATGTAATCTAATAAAAAGTCACAACGACCATCAAGTTCAGCAGGTATCAATAGAACAGTAGACCAACGATTTTAGCGTCGCGTTCCTTCAAAGCACTAGAATCACATCCAGAATTCTATATCAGGCCTTGGCGCTGCAGATCAGTATAGGTCTTTTTGTTGTAGATGTTTCCATCCTTATCTTCATACTCTTCTTCCAAGTCTGGCCGCCACTTGTTCTGCCCTTGCTTTGCTTGTATTCTCTCCCAGAGTGTCGTCGCCTCCTGGAGATACAAATCAGAGATGTCAAAGCAACTTCGTGACGACCAAACAGAAACAGTACATGACACAGCACATGTTCAATATGATTCAGATCAACTTACGGGTCAAATTTAATGGCATTTTCTCCTTTTTTCCTAATTTAACTTCTTTCAGCAATTATGACCACACTCGACAATAATTTATCTCTCTTAGTCCGAGACATTAATACAATGGACACCATGGTCTCCCTCTATTAATATCTCGGTTTCATGACTTCTATCCATGTGACTAACCAAAGTATGGCTTACAAATTATTCAAACATGGGGGATGCTTCATAAACCCTAAACATGGTATAGTGTTCATGTATCCTTGAGGAAAGTTAAACTCAACTTCAAATTACTGTTTATTCCAACATTATGAAGTTGGAAAATATGAAGCAAGCAAAAGGCATGACTATCAGTTTAAAAAAACTAAGTTACAGGCACTTGCTCACAATGTACACGACCCTGAGCCCGAGAAGAATATTTTGCAAACATTATCCTATAGACAGGACACAAACAAGACAACAGTAAAACGGCAGGTGTACCTTGATGGATGTAATTTCATTGAAGTTCTTAGTATTAGGAATGCCAAGGCATCGCATCCCATGCTGATGGCGCCACTCCTTGAAATGGCGCTCATAAGCCCTTCGCCCCCAGTAACTGTGGTTACCACATATTTCACACTTGAATTCCTGACAAGAAATAGTTAAAACATTAGAAGTCTAGTACCAAATTTGATGCTGATATCTGGGCATATAATAGAAATGATGCTATCGATGTTCAAGTCGAGTCTAATATTTGAAAACAAGTAAAACACAATAACTAGATGAAACTATGTGCAAGCTATCAAACATTAAAATTTAGCACTCATTTTTGGAAACATACCATTCTGTAGCTCCAAACATCATATTGATAGTAGTATTAAAGAAAGATAAAATCATAAAAATGTGAGCCTTTATTTGTTGGTCGACAGTTCCTCAAATTACAGAACATATATAAGTAGTTGACACCCAGCAAAGCTGATCCAAGATCAAGTAGTTGAGATCGGTCCTCGCCTGGACCGATGTTGGATGGCCGACCGCCTCGCCCGCCGTGGCCTGCAACACCCCGCACGATGCCCCCTCTGCGACCAGGCCCCCGAGACCATGCACCACCTCACCCTTGCCTGCCCCTTCGCCGGGCAGATCTGGCACGAGGTGCTGCACTGGCTCAGACTCTCCTGCGCCCCGCCCGACAGCGAGACTTCCCTCAACGACTGGTGGCGCACGGCGCGACAGGACACCCCAAAGCCCATGCGCAAGGGCCTCGCCTCCACGACCCTCCTCGTCCCATGGATGAAACTGCGTCTTCAACAGTGGCCGGCCCTCGACGACCGACCTGCTCACAAAGATCAAAGACCCGCCCTCTGGGCCAGAGCCGACGCCCTAGGGCTTCGTGCCATTTTACCGCAAACATGGGACGTGCACTGATATGCCTCCAGGTACTGTAATTCCCTCCTAGGAGGATTGTAACCGAAACTTCATTTCTTTCCAAAGCAATGAAATGCAAGCTCTTCTTGTGTTTTCTCGAAAAAAAAAAGTAGTTGATATAAATAATATAGGCGCATTTGGTTCGCTACCACACATTGCCACATCTAACAGTGTCAAACTGTGGCAAGCCACAAAATTGTGGCTAACAAATTGATGGCCATCTCTTGAGCAATGTTTGGCTAGAAATGTGCCACTGAATGTGGGGTTACAAGACTAAGAAAGTATGGCATGACAAGAGTTTGGCAATGAAGCCATACTAGCCTAACTAGGTTAACTTACATGCAGCATGTCGTGGTATACAACCGTACATGCCCTATACAGGTTGCCACTGCCCATCAGTCAATTAATTGGCGGTCACAAACATTAGGTGACTATCTATACATTCATGTAGGAAGAACATGTAATAAAATGACATGGAAATATTCAGCAAAACAGCAAGATGAGCTATTGACGTAGACTGAAGGCAAAAAAAAGTATGGATAAATGATACTGACTAATTAAGCTGTTAGCGATAAGATAAGGCCGGTTACCTGACCAAGACCGTGAAGCTTATAGAGCCAATAAGGGATAGGTTTCCCGTCCCAGCCCATTGGTAACTTGAGGGGGTTGTAGATTTGTTGGTCTTCATCATCACTTTCACTATCAGCTTGCACTTCTTCCTATAAGAAGTCACAGAAGATAGAAGTTCAGATAAACAGACAGAAGAAAATGTAAGTAAGTTGAAGTTAAGGGAGAAACTAAGTACCTCTTCCCGCTCTGCTTCCATTTCTTCATAGGTCAAGGTCAGCTTCTTCTCCGCGTTTTCCTTTGTTCTTACAATGACCTGCACACAAAAAAAAGATAGACATAAAAAATTATAAGAACATGTCGTGAACAATGCTGATGACCCGTAGTCCTACCAAGATAAAAGGGAACTTTGTAAACTATACCACGAAAAGTAGATCATGCTAGAATTCCATACACATGGAAACACTGATTTGAAATCTAGGAGCTTCTGGTTCACCAATGATCACTTTCGTGGGGAACATGATAGAAAAGGTGCATCATGGCATTGGTGGCAGCAGGACTCAGGCGATGGCAACTTTTGCTATTGTCTTCATTATAGATGTTGTTCAATCATTTTGTTCACTTGCTAAGTTGCTATATACATCATGCCGAGGATCACTTTTAGATAGGTTGATAAATGTTGAGATTCTAGGGTAAGTTAGGATATAATGGTCCCAGTACTTCTATTCACGACCATCCTACATTCCTAACCTATGCACAAATAAACCAAAAGATGGCTCATTACATGGTGGGAGCATCTGCAAGGGATATTAGCCTATCCTAGCACAAGGCCATTCCTCAAGCTGTGATTATGACCTTACTAACCGACCCATGCTGAAATGGATAATTGACTGCACATGTTACTGCACAACACATAAAAGGAATAAGAGCTGACCTCATCGAGAATCTCACATAAGCGCTTCATCTTCATTTCAGTCAAAGCAATTTCCTTCTTCAAATCATCACCTTTGGCAAAATGCTTACGATCCAGTTTTTCCAAGGGTGTATGCTGCAAAAGTATGGCCAATGATAATAAATTTAGGACTGATAAATAGCCATAAAAACAATAAAATTAGCAACAGCCTTTGGTAGTCACCTTCAGCAAGAAAAGCCGCTCAGCACGCTGTTGAACAGTGCCGCCACCCTTCAATCCACGAGCAGTTAAAGCCTGAAAAAAAATGTTATTACATAAGGCCATTTCAAGTACGAAGTAAAATAGAACCTGAACTATGTTACAAGATCAAACCTCCTTCAACTTTTCCGGACCAAGCTCTACAAGCTCTTCAACAGTACTGTAGTAATCAAGGTCTACTGCAGACTC